GTGGAAAGACACCGCGGGGGGGGGGGGATTTATCAAAACTGGAGCAGGTTTGCACTGCAACCAATCAGCTTCTCTCTCTCATTTTCAAATCTCACCTCAGCAAACTGTAGAGAGATGCTGATTGGTTGCCGGGGGCAACTGGTTGCCTGCCCCCCTGTCTATATAATGTCTCCGAGCTGTTCGGCCGGATATTCCGAGCGGTATCCTTTAGGTCTCGTTCACACCTAGGCTTATTGCATATGCGCGATTCGCGGTAAAAAAAGTCGCGAGTTGTAGGGCACAGTGCGTGCTAATAGCGTCCTGGCCCCCACTGAGCCTCGGAATACAACATGATTCAATGCGCTGGGTGACAACCTTCAAAATAAACAAGACACCGACCTGGAAGAGAGATTAGGCAGCTGCTGCGGGGAGACACTCGGTTACATTTCTAGCACGACTCCATGAGACAGCCTGGCAGGGCTTTGTACGCTGACTAATTGATGGGAGCCAAGGAGGAACGGGGGGCCCCTGGCCGCTCAAGCCTCATTTCTTCCTCTCCAATATCTGGAGTGAGTTCCTATCCTCGCGGCAAAGCCAGGAGCCTCGCAAACCCTCCGCTGAGCGACCGGAATACAAATGTGGAGAGCGTGGTACACGGTCCCCTGTCCCGGCCTCTGGACAGCCTTCCCAGAAGAGTTGAAGCTGTTTTAGCTGTAAAGGGTGGGCCAACTCAACACTGAACCCTACGGACTATGACTGGGATGCATTAAAGTTCATGTGCGTGTAAAGGCAGGCGTCCCAGTACTTTTGGCAATATAGTGTAGTGTGCTGCCGGGACTTAGCTATGAGCCATGATTGGGCAAAGTCATCATGACTTTGCCCAATCATGGCTCTAACAGAGTACTGAGCCCTGATTGGGCAAAGTCTTGCACCTGACCTGCGGTCAGGTGTAAGACTTTGCCCAATCAGAGCTTCGGTGGGCATTTTGTATTATGGAATGTACGCGGTCGAACAGACCGCGAACATCCCACAAAGTTCGGCGCTCGAACTGCCGATGTTCGAATCGAACACTCGGCCCATCCTTACCGAGGAGTAGGCAGAAGAGGCGGCCGCCTTGGTCTCTTCAGTAGGAGGGGAGCAAAACAAATGGCAAACGCACTCATCAGCTTTACAGCGCGGTGCACACGGAAGGGCTTTATACAGGAGAACAGCAAACAGTTTTCCAGCACGCTCATCAGCCGGCATGCAAAAAAGTGTCCCTGTGCCTTTAAGGAGGGTCGGGCTGGGGAACCTGCACCCAATTTATCTTTTGCCCCCATGTGCTCCAAGATGGCGGCTCTCATAGTTTAGAGTTAGGACCGCGCTATATAGAGGTGCCTTGGCGCGGCTGTCACATGTTCTGCACAAGACGTGCATCCAAACCTCTGTTTTTAGCCTTAGCGGTGAGACGGGTTTTTAGTAGGAGGGGGGTGCGAAAAAAAGCCAAAACCTGTACTGCTGAAGAAGTTCACAGCTCGCGGAGGCGGGGGAGGGGTGCACTTCGGCTTTTTTGCACTGCGTGCTAAAGGACCTTGGCCCGACACTGCAATAGAAGTCACGTGACCTGGACGGCCACTTCACAGTGCAGGACGTTGTACATTTTCTGCATCACTGACGGCCAATAGTCAGATGAATGCAAACTGAAATACTTCCAGGGGTACACACACGCACGTAGAGATATACACCTAACAGGGCGCCAGTAAAACAGGGGCGTCCCGAGGCCGGGTGTCACCCGGAGTGGAGACCAGGTGACGTCATTGCGCACGCGCGGCCATCTAATTGACGCCTGCCGGCGGCCATCTTGGTGATGGACGCCGGCAGAGAGAGGAAGGGACAGTCACCCGGCGGGATGAGGTATGCCGCCGGGTCCCCTCCTCTCCCCTGACACTGTCGGGTTCTCGGTCCATGACGAAGTGCCCGACTTTTTAGAGGGGGGTGACACCAAAATGACTGTCAGCCATTTTGGTGTCACCCCTCCAATGGTGTCACCCTGGTGCGGGCCGCACCCCCCTTGTGACGCCACTGCAGTAAAACCCTCCAGGTTGGCAGGAAAGGTGATTGATGGAAGATACATTCCGCCGCGGATTGTCAGATTTACCATCTAAGGCAGCGGTTCTCAACCTTTGTATCGCCGCGGACCGGTCAAAGTCCGCGGCGACACACCTGTAGATATACACACACACACCTGTAAAACTGGCGTTCAGGTGGCGAAGCAGTTTTGAAGGTTTCATTAGAGAGCTGGTCGCCGCAAACTATGTAGAGTGGTTTTGGTGTGTGGGAATCACCTGTCCCGATAAATCCATATTTCAGGTAGCACTCGCGGTATTGTCTGTTTCTTTGATGTTGAAGGCCCTTCTCCTGTCTCCTCACCCGGCCTTTTCTTTTTCCCGAGGAAACTTTCTAACGACGTCTGTTTCGTACTCATTGTTGCTAATTTGTGGGTTAAATTTGAGCAAACACAATATACACCAAGCACTGCTAAACATGAGTAGGGACCGGTGACCAGAGAGAAGAGCGATACACACCTTCTCTTTACCAAAGCTACAACGCCACCGCCGCTTGCAGCTGCTCAGCTCCAGACGTCACCGATTGGTGCGGCTTAAGGCCCCGTTCACATATAGCGACATACCTTTTGCAGCGGATCCGCACGGCCGGGATAGCGCGACTTTCGGGGCGACGATCCAGCGACGGTAGCGCGACCTTCCCCGTCGGGCTCCATAGAAAAAAAGTAAAATCGCGCAAAATCCGCCGAAAAAAGGGTCCGGTAGAAGCGACTTGCGACCGCGACGAGCGACGCGCGACATGGAGTTAAGACAGCTCCATTGAATAACATTGGCCGGCGACTTCTCGCGATATCGCGCGGCAAAAATGCGCGATATCGCGGCGGAAATCGCGCGGCAATTCGCTATATGTGAACGGGGCCTTAGGTGCCGTCTCTCAGCCACCGGTTAACCTCTCGTCCTGGAAAGTCGGACAAACCCGAGAGAAATACACCACAGTAAATAAAATGGAAATAATTTAATGTTCCTTGGGCGGCCCGGTACCATTTGATCCACGGACCGGTACCGGTCCCGCGGCCCGGGGGTTGGGGACCACTGATCTAAGGTAATGCCAGCAGAGCTCTGGAGCTGAAGGAAAATGGCTCTTCACCTTGTGTTGGTAAAACACGTCCCGGGTCTGGTTCTACGAGGAGCCTGATAGAGTTCTGGGTGGGACAGACTCCTAATTCCGTGGTCCGTAGTTTGGTGAGGACTGCAGAGGACTTCATTAGTGTGCAGCTGGGCCAATGCGTGTCTCCGTGCAAAGAGAGACGGTGTGCTGGATGCAGCAAGTTCTGTGTTTGGAACCAAGCGTGTCAGCAGGACCGGGACCTGTGGATGGACCATCACTGCTACCAGAGAGGGAACGGACCCGGCTCAAAGGACTATCCCTAATACCCAGTAAGCTCCGCCCAGCAGGACTTTATTTTGTTTATGGCGAGTTATTTTGGGCTCCATACCTGTAACCTTACCTGTGATTATTGTGTCTGGGATTAAAGCCGGAAATTGTGGTAGAGAGATTGTGAGTTTGCATTGAGACCAGTTCCCTACAGTACACACACACACGTATGGATACAGATATGCACACGCCTGTAGATACAAACATACCTACAGATACACCCGCACACCTATATACACCTATGGATACACACGCCTGTAGATACAGATATACACACACATTCAATGTATAAATGGGGAGGGAGGTGCAGTATAGTATCATACAATATAATTAGTATTGAAAGGTGGTGAGTCTCCTATGTAGCTTATATATGATATATACACACGCCTGTCGCTACACGCCTGTAGATACACACACACGCCTGTAGAGATACACACACACACACCTGTAGATACACACACACACACACACACGCCTGTAGATACACACACGCCTGTAGATACACACACACACACACCTGTAGATACATACACGGACACACCTGTAGATACACACACACACACACACACACACACACCTGTAGATACACACACACCTGTAGATACACACATACACACGCCTGTAGATACACACACACACACCTGTAGATACATACATACACACACACACCTATATATACACACACACACACACACACACACACACACCTGTAGATACACACACACCTGTAGATACACACACACCTGTAGATACACACATACACACGCCTGTAGATACACACACACGCCTGTAGATACACACACACGCCTGTAGATATACACACACCTGTAGATATACACACACGCCTGTAGATATACACACACGCCTGTAGATATACACACACGCCTGTAGATATACACACACGCCTGTAGATATACACACACACGCCTGTAGATATACACACACCTGTAGATATACACACACACCTGTAGATATACACACACCTGTAGATATACACACACCTGTAGATACACACATACACACCTGTAGATATACACACACCTGTAGATACACACACACACACCTGTAGATACACACGCCTATGAATTCTCACCTGAAGGGAACACACTGTCATAAAATAATCCTTTCTCACATTGATGTGACAGCGTGTTCTCGGGTGCGCGGCGCACTGATGGAGTAATGACATGTTACGGTAATGAGGGGTTAGCGGTTACAGACGAGAGACGGATTTCAGGGCTTTGAACTAGAAAATGAAATGTTGAGGGAGACGGATGAGAGATCTGCGCGCCGAGTTCCTGAAGCTTGACAGACAATTCTACAGACTCAGGAAGACGGCGGGATCTCTGACCGTGTGCAGGTGTCACGTATGTGCTGTGCGTGTTCAGTGTCTGTGGGAATGATATATGACTTGACCTATTTTTTTTTTTCTGACACGCATTGTACGCTGCGGCTGCGATGGGAAGAGAGACGTCTCTGAGCACCAAAAGTATTTCATTTTGAGATTGGACTCCCCTTTACCCCGGTCCGAGTCACACCACCAGAACCCAACCTATCCATACATTGCACACACAGGACATCCCGGGCTGAATTCACCAAGACATGACACATGGGTTACATGCCATAACCATCATTATTTGAATCTCTCATTTGTTGCCATGGCAATCAATGATCATTATAGTTCAGTAAATTGGTTCCTCTCTATATACAGAACATGACAACTGTCACCAAAGGCCAAATCACTTCCAATCACTGGAGGTTGTTTACAATATTCTGTGCTGCCCATAGCAACCGAAACGCTTCATCTTTCTGGAGTCTAGGAATGATACCATGTGAGCTGTTGCCATGGACACTATCATGTATGATATAAAGTAATAGAATCGCTCACAATGTGGATCTTAAGGTAACGTCAATGAATTGGGTTTGGTCGTTTGAAACCTAGCCCCAGATATGTGTACAGCTCTATGGGGTACACCCCTGACCAGGAGGCACAGCAGTCCTGAGTTCCCTTTATAGGAACCGGATCTGAACCCAGGACCTCTGCTCAGTGGCGTCACAAGGGGGGGTGCAGCCCGCACCTGGGTGACACCATTGGAGGGGTGACACCACAATTACTCTTAGTCATTTTGGTGTCACCCCCCCCCCCCTCTGAAAAGTATCAGGAGAGAGGAGGGGACCGGACAGCATACCTTATCCCGCCGGGTGACTGTCCCCTCCTCTCTCTGCCGGCGTCCATCACCAAGATGGCTGCCGGCAGGTATCAGAAACTGCCACGCGTGCGCGATGACACGTCACGCGCATGCACAGTGATGTCTCGGCGGGGTGACACTCGGTTACCGCTCCGGGTGTCACACAGCCTCGGGACGCCCCTGCTGTAGCTGGCGGTAGTTCTACCCGCTGAGCCACCTTAGAACCTTGGATAGCTCCTCGTCTGATCTCCTGTGTGATCCTCAGGTAACCCTAGTTTCTGTTGAACTCTGAACTCCTCCCTTCAACTTCCTATTTAAGCCACGCCTCTGCACTTCCTGTTTGCCAGATTATTCTGCTCCTGCCATTATCTTGCTTCCTGCTCCCTCTGTGATACAATCCGCTCATCCTGCTACCCGTGTACCCACCTTTGGCTGCCGATTAGAGTTGCCACCTGTCCCGGATTCACTTGGACGCTCCGGGTTTTGAATCCTCTATGTGCTGCGTCTCGGTCTCAGCTGGGCCTGAAACCCGGAAACAGCACATACAGGACTCAAAACCCGGACTATCCAAGTGAATGCGGGACAGGTTACAACTCTACTGCCGATTCACCAACTACTCTCACCGTTTCCCACTACATACCTGATACCTTTGGCTCCTGACCTCGGCTTGATCTCTGACTACGCTTCTGCCGGCTCCTACACCACTGTCTGCTTGTGTACCAAACCCGGCCTGTTATACCACCAATTGCCGGCTGCTTCAGCTACTGGACTCCGAGCCTGACCCCAGACCGTGACAATAGGAGGTTAATGAGGGTCATGTGTGCACAGCAGTCCTGAGTTCCCTTTAGAGGTGGTTAATGAGGGTCATGTGTGCACAGCAGTCCTGAGTTCCCTTTAGAGGTGGTTAATGAGGGTCATGTGTGCACAGCAGTCCTGAGTTCCCTTTAGAGGTGGTTAATGAGGGTCATGTGTGCACAGCAGAGACCGGAGTTCTATTGTTGAGTATTGACCATCAGACGGCGCAGATTTGTGGACACATTACAGCTGCTGCTTCTTCATCCTCCAGACGCCCAATTCACGCTGATTTCCTAACTGCGGCAGAGAAAATGGCGCCACCGACCTGGATGACGGCACGTGTAAATCCGAGCAATGGCCGAAATGCAATCGCAGATACTTTCGTCCGGTTCACATGTATGTAATCCCGCTCCACACGTATGTTTTCCTGCCAGTTTGTGATGTATTCATTGTTTCCACTCTTGCATAGTCTGTTCCTCGCTGGCAGTTTGTCGGTTGCTCCCCAGACCCGGAGGGTGGTCATCCGCCTGGCTCCTTATATGAAGTATACAGTCCTCCAGACTGGAGGTGTGCAGGATGTGTGTGCTGTGCCAGAATGGAGGGGCTCCGCGTGTAATTGGATAATTCCCCCCCCCCTCGTTCCCCAGGCGGGAGGCGGGTGTGTAATTAGAGTCTGAGGCTCCTATTATCCAATCACATAATGAGAGGTTTGCGGCGCCATGTATGGAGAAGTCTCGTTCTACACGAAACCTCGTCACGCGATTGGGCGATTTCAGTATAAATTGGCGCCACACCAGAATCTTCCGCGGCTCATATGAATGCGGAGTTCCTGGGGGGGGAGGGGAGGGGAGGGGGCAGGAAGACCTTTCAGCAGATTTGAAGGGAACCAACCACCGGAAGGACTTCTATTCAGCAATCGTTACACGTGACTTGTATGATCTCCTGTAGCCGGGACCATTGGCCTCGTCACCATGAGATCCGGGTGGTCAGGGGCGGTGATAAAGGTCACTGGGCGGGGCTTTCATGGCAGAAACCTATTATTACCCAGAAGTCCTTTATCATCTAGAAGAGGGTTATGTACGTCCCCCAGATTGCATTGTCCATGGTTCCTACACCTTTATGGATCACATTTGAATCCGCCTTCTACGGCCGCACCAACCATACGAAGGGAGTTCTGGACTCACCCCAACCATACGAAGGGAGTTCTGGAGTCACCCCAACCATACAAAGGGAGTTCTGGAGTCACCCCAACCATACAAAGGGAGTTCTGGAGTCACCCCAACCATACAAAGGGAGTTCTGGAGTCACCCCAACCATTCCAAAGGGAGTTAAAGGGAGTTCTGGAGTCACCCCAACCATACAAAGGGAGTTCTGGAGTCACCCCAACCATACAAAGGGAGTTCTGGAGTCACCCCAACCATACAAAGGGAGTTCTGGAGTCACCCCAACCATACAAAGGGAGTTCTGGAGTCACCCCAACCATACAAAGGGAGTTCTGGAGTCACCCCAACCATACAAAGGGAGTTCTGGAGTCACCCCAACCATACAAAGGGAGTTCTGGAGTCACCCCAACCATACAAAGGGAGTTCTGGAGTCACCCCAACCATACAAAGGGAGTTCTGGAGTCACCCCAACCATACAAAGGGAGTTCTGGAGTCACCCCAACCATACAAAGGGAGTTCTGGAGTCACCCCAACCATACAAAGGGAGTTCTGGAGTCACCCCAACCATACAAAGGGAGTTCTGGAGTCACCCCAACCATACAAAGGGAGTTCTGGAGTCACCCCAACCATACAAAGGGAGTTCTGGAGTCACCCCAACCATACAAAGGGAGTTCTGGAGTCACCCCCAACCATACAAAGGGAGTTCTGGAGTCACCCCAACCATACGAAGGGAGTTCTGGACTCAGCCATCAGGTATGGTGGGTGTTAGTTATCAGTGATTCTGACCCTCGGCCAGAAGATTTTCTGTGCTCTGATTGGGCAAAGTTCCATGTGAACCGTGAATTGCCTGTTACATAGTCAGGTGGACAGAAGACACAAGTCCGTCGAGTTCATCCCATAGAGATGTCATGTAGGGTAGAGGCCCCTGTGGGCAGCTGAGAACCTATATGGCTATGTAGGTGCCGGGCCCAGGTGCGTAGTGGAGCAGTCATGGCCCCTGTGCGGGACGTCCATTATGTGCTGTGAGTTACCATGACTCATGGTGCCAGGTCCACCACACAACTAAGCCGGAGTGTCATCTTCAAGTGGCGTGTCCCCATCAGATTGGAGACTTTGTGTTTGCCTGAAGAAGGGGCCGCCTGGTCCCGAAACGTCGCTTTGCTTATGTGACTTCATATTCAGTCTATAAGGAGATGGACTCTACAACGGAGGGCGAGGGACTTCATGGTATATTTCAGTTTGGAGACTGTTAGGGCTGCAACAACTAATCGACATAATCGATGATTGAAAAAGTTGTCAACTTTTTCAATCATCGATTAATCGGCTTCCGATTGTTTGGCCCTGTTCACGGCTCCACACGCGCGGCGCATCCATTTTAATTTTTTTTTTTTTTACCGATTAATCGAACGTAATAATCGGCTAACTAATCGATTTTGAAAATAATCGTTAGCTGCGGCTCTAGAGACTGTCACGGTGGAGGGACCAGCTTAGGTCGTCTTAGACTATCACCTTCCTTTCATCATTTCCATCATCTTCATCATCTTCATCATCATCATCCTCATTTCCGCTGAGCTGCCTTCCTGGTCACCTACCTGTGTGATGCATAAACCCGGCTAACAAGCCTGGAATCAGTCCGGATCTTCCACGCCCGTTGTCTATGACGGGGAACAGACCGTGCAATGCTTGTACTGTGCAATCAGCCGGCCACAACTGACCGGACCCTCCAAGACACGGAAGACCGGGGGCCCCATAATCTGTGATCTCAGCCACACGCTTCCCATCACATTCCCGAGACCTTCCTCCTCTCTTCTCCTAAAGGAGTGTGCCCCCCTCCGGGATTCCCACGATGTGTCCTCTTCACCCCCCGGTGTGTCCCCCTAACCCCCCGGTGTGTGTCCCCTCGAGTCATTTTGGTGTCACCCCTCCAATGGTGTCACCCGGGTGCGGGCCGCACCCCCCCTTGTGACGCCACTGATCCTAGTAAGATACAATGATGGTGTCACTGGCCGTGATGATGATTATTTCGGCCTCGTCACTCTCCTACCGTTACATCCTATGATTCAGTGGCGGGGTTTCTGGCCCCTGAATATGGTGAAATGGCCGTCAGGGAGCCCGGTAGATCCGCAGCTGGGAGGTATGGGGGAGGACGAGGCTCCGGGAAAGATTTGTTGTTATTTATAATCAGACGAGGAAAGTATCATTGTGCGGCGCGGCAGCTTCTGACATAATGTGAAGATTACCCCCATTGTCTCCCGCAGACGCCTGTCAGCCGCGTCTCCGCAAAGTCCTCAGATTGGCGTTTCCGGGAAATGTCGGATTTTTGGGGATTTCTGCAGCTTCAGGTGCGGGAAACGTTGCGACATTTACACCGGAAAACGCACAGCGGAGCGCAATCGTGTCACCTGAGGCTCATCGGAGGCGTTCACTTCACATCCCCAATCAGGAACAATGCAAGGCCCAGCACCGCAGAAGAGGAGAACTACAAGTCCCAGCACCATGGGGGAGAGGAGAACTACAAGTCCCAGCACCATGGGGGAGAGGAGACTACAAGTCCCAGCACTCTGGGGGAGAGGAGACTACAAGTCCCCCAGCTCTCGGGGGGAGAGGAGACTACAAGTCCCAGCACTCTGGGGGAGAGGAGACTACAAGTCCCAGCACTCTGGGGGAGGGATTTCATTTGCCCTTCCTCAGTACTCAGGTAACATTGGCAGATAGACATGAGGGCCCTGACCGGTCCGCAGCGGTCACATCTCAGATACGGCTCTGTGCAAGGTCCGGGTTGAGGAGATGGAGGGACCTGGGGTACAGGGG